TATTCTACAATTAAAACATTCATTTCTGCTACTAAGCTTATATTCATCAATATATTAACTAAGCAGAGCAGGGTAGCCCCACGTTTGTCCCTGGAATTACTCAAAGCACTAGCTAAAGTTGGATTTTCTGCTAGTGAAATGTTTACAGATCATGAGGAACCCATCAGACGTAGGTTCACCGTGAACCTCCTCTTCCCTTCTTCCAAGGACTTTCACTTCTAAGATTTGTCTCCATCTGTGGCAACCACAGCACCCTGGAAAACACAATACATGCATTCTTCTAATGAAGACAGAGCTGGGTCAAGAATTCCTGGAAAAGGGGACATTATGCTGTATACAAACAGAATAATTTTAAAAACATAGATCAGTCATTTTATATTTTACAGGGAATCTGATTTGTGTAATTCAATATGTATACAACTTTGGGGGCTCCTGCAAATTGAACTTTAGCAATTTCTTCACTGTACATGAGCAATGAAATCCAGGCTCTTACTTTGTGACACTCATCTAGAAACTCATCTTCCTAAGAATGAGTAAGACACTGAAATGCTGTCCTGCGATCCCCGAAACACATACACAGCTGACCATGACAGAAAAGAGACCGCATAAAACAGTAAAGGATAGTGGTCAACTGTTAAGTTTTCTTTTTCCAGGTAACCTGTAAATGTCACAGTTGACAATATTCCTGTTACCTCAGCTTCACCTGAACAGTTTGTCATCTCCCTTTTTTTTTTTAAAATCCAGTTATCACCCACCTTACAGAAACACCCATAGCCAGTCCTATTATTATTAGTACATCCCTTATGTTTAGATCACCCCTCTACTCATGTAGAGTCATCTTAAGATTTTCGGTGAGTTTTTTCCAAATTATATTGTAAAGCTTATGTTTTTCCTACCCAGGAAATTGCTTAGTATCATTAATGATGTATAGACTTTATTGAATTTCCCTAAGGTTGAGTCCCTTTACTCACCTGCTTCCTAACAATGAACTGGACATTTCTGCACAGGTTTAGAGGTACATATTTTGTGAAGCCAATTTCTTATCCCTCTATCTTAAATCTGGTGACAAAAAACTAGAGGGGGAAGCTTTTTAAAAAGTACTAAAATCTCTAGTATAAGAACTCCAAAGCCCAGATTAGGAAATGGAAGGAAATATGCATTCGTATATGGGACTCAAATATGCCGTCTCAACAGGAAAAGTGGTTCTGTCTAAAAAGGAATATTCTAGTTAATTATTTGTGTAGCAGATTATGTCTGAGAATGTCTTTTCAAGGGATGCCCTGAGGATAGAAATCTGAAGTCAGCTTTAGAATCTCAAGTACCCAACAGGACACTGCTGATGAGTACAAGAGCAAGCAACTGGGACATAAGACAATCCACATCATCTCTGTGGCTTGTGTGGCCTTTGAGAGGAAACTGGTTCCTACTAAAGTCACAGTTTTATGCTAAGATTTATACTAAGGGGTGTTTCTATCTTGTGTCTTCTCTCCCATTGAAAAAGCTCTGAGTAAATGCTGGTGGACTTTTTCTCTAGTGTGTCTTTTCCTATGTCTGAAAAGATTTGAGCTCTGACTGAAGGCTTTCCCGCAGTCATGACACTTGTAGGGTTTCTCCCCAGTGTGTATTCGTCGATGCTGAATCAGGCTTGCACTTCGGCTAAAAGCCTTTGCACACTCATCACACGCGTAGGGTTTCTCTCCACTGTGGATTCTCCGATGTAGGATAAGGGCTGAGCTCTGACTAAAGATTTTGCCACATTCATCACACTTGTGTTGTTTTTTTCGAGAAGGGTTATCCTGTTTTCTTTCAAACCTGCCATCTTGTTCATAAGTTCCTCTATAGGTGAAGTTCTGGGAAGCTGTCATAGATAGGGTATTAGAAATATCACAGTGCAATCCTGGGCTGGAAGAAGTCTTTTGCCTTGAAGCATACTTGTCATTTATAGTTCCAGTGTCTTTATCTGAAATAATACACAAAAACAGCAGATGTCACCAGTTATCTGTTCAGAATGAACGAAAGGAAATAGCATGACCCAAATGATTAGCTAGAATATTTGTAATACAGCATCATTATACAGAAGGTAGAGAGAATAGGGCAGAACACTGAAATCACAGAGGTGATTATAATGAGGAAGCAGCTAACTAGAAAGATGAAAAGTTCTATGCAAAATGCATCAGAGAAGGTATGGCAGAAAAGAAAAGGCTTCAAAGATGAGGGATTACTGGAGAAACAGAGGAACAACAGGAAGTAGAGGAATCAAATTTAGTAGTGTGTAATTACAAACAAAACTTAGCATCAGAGTATTGATAAAGAAAAATTTAAGTTTAATAATGATAAATGAGTCAATGATTAATCAAAGAGAGGACACGAAGAAGGCCAAGGGGCCAAATGAAATATGCAAAATAATGTCAGAAAATACAAGTTAGGGGGAAAAGAATAACTTTAGGGTAAGACCTCATAGCACAAACTATCTGTCTACAAAAACTGCTACTCTTATATGTATTTTATAGTTGGTTTTATTACTACACATTATCATGTATAGTTTACTGGAATTATTAGTTTAAAATAGAAATGACTTTATATAGATATTCTATCTCAAATTCATTTTTTATGAGCTCATATTCCAAAGTGACCACAATATCTAATCACAACCATCAAAATTCTGGCAAGAATCAAAACTTGATAGCAAAGAGATCAAGGTCATCTATAGACAGAAGTCCTGTAGTGGCCTTACAATGTGTTTTTTTTAGTATATCAGTAAGATTCTCATTCTCTCTGTCTGCCTTCTATTGCAAGATTCTGGGCCTTCTGTATCAAATTTCTACATAATTTTATTTATTTTTTATATATTCATTATATCATCCTTTATTTTTGTACAATGTATGGTTCCCCATGAAATTCCCACCACCAATTCCCCCTGCACCATCACCATAGTCCCTTGTACACCAACCACCCCTGTCCTGGTCCTTCTTCCTCCTACTCCCTTACTGAATGTCTCTGATATATAGTTGCCTGATGATTTTGATTTTTACTGTGCTATAGTTACTTTTTTCCTGATTCCTTTTTTGTTTTCCCTACATTCTTCTCATAAGTGAGACCATTTGCTAGTTGGTTTTTTTTTTTCTTTTTGGCATATTTTACTGAACATAATCCCTTCCAGCTCCATCCATGTTGCTGCAAAGGGCATGAATTTAGCCTTTTTGATTGTGAGTAATATTACATTGTGTAAATATAACATATCTTCTAGATCCAGTCATATATTCTGGGCATCTGGGTTGCTTCCATAGCTTACCTATTGTAAATTGCAATAAACATAGGGGTGCAGATGTCCTTTTGAATTAATGTTTTTATGTCCTTTAGGTAGATTTCTAGGAGTGGAATTGCAGGATCATATGGAAGTTTCATTTTTAGTATTTGGACCAGTGGTTGGACCAGGTGCATTCCCACCAGCAGTGTAAAAGAGTTCCTTTTTCTCCACATCCTCGCCAACATTTGTTGTTGCCAGTTTTTTTAATCTGTGCTATTCTCACTGCTGTAAGGTGGTTATCTCATTGTGGTTTTTGCTTTTTTAAAGATTTATTTATTTATGCATGTAGAACTGGGGTACAGGCCAGAGGTGTACAGGGGTGGTGGTGAGAAGATTCACCAGAGACAGAATGGGGAGCAGAACAAGCAGATCTACTGAAATATACTGCTGAGGGGAGCAGTGGGTGGGTCAGGAGAGGTCTGCCATGCCATGTGGATTATCTTCCTGGCTGGGGATCAAACTCGTGCTATAATGGCTATGATAGCTTTACAGTGCTGTGCTTTTAACTTGTTGCACCACCAGGGAGGGCCTCATTGTGATTTTTATTTGCACATCCCTGATTACACGTGATGCTGAACATTTTTTCATATGCCTGTTGGCCATTTGCATTTCTGCTTTGGAAAAGTGTCTTTTTAACTCTTCTGCCCATTTTTTGACTGGGTTGTTTACTTTGTTTTTATTGCGCTTCATTATCTCTCTGTAGATCTTTGTGACCAATCCTTTGTCGTTAATACTATGTGCAAGAATTTTCTCCCAATCAGTGGGGTCTTTATTTTGATTGTCTCTTTTGCTGTACAAAAACTCTTTAATTTTATGTAATTTCAGCTGTTTATCTTTCCTTCATCTTGTTTGCTAAATTTCTACATAACTTTAAAAAATATAAAATAGATCTCTGTGAAGCTATTCATAGGCAGAACATGGTTCTTTGGTTCTTGTCAATACTGGGAGCCTAGGCCTTGGTGTTGAGGCTTATCACTTCTGTGATCTGTACAATATGAAGGTGAAGGTAAAAGTTCTGAATTCCTTTCCTCTCTTGATAGAGTACGAAAAGCCTTTAGCTATTCTCCTAGTTGAGTCAAGACAGCTGCTACACTGGAGGCAGTGTCCACTATAAGCCTGTTGGGAACAGGTACTTAGCGAGTAAGTGTGAGATATTTTTTCTTTAGATATTTTTTTTTAATCTAAGAGTTTGTGTTTGTTTTCTTCTTGCACTTCTTATCAAAATTGCCTTGAAAAAAAATCTAATAATCTGATCAGTCAACCCAGGTGTGTAGATAGGAGATCCTCTCAACTAGAGTTTTTCTCCTCATTTCTGGCTATTTTAACAAGATGATCATCTAGAAGATTGGGTCTACTCAAATGTCTACTCTATTTAGAATGTAGTTACTATTTAATAAGACCCTGTCTGCTTCTCATTTCTTCCCTTTATTCTGTTTGCTTTTCCCCCACAGCACTTATTTAATCTGTCTGTTCTGAAGAACAGATTGCTCTTCCACCCATGTGGGAATGCTCCAGTAAAAAGTGCTGCAAAGAGCAACAGAGGGTAATTTAGGGTGAGAAAGAGTAGAAATTTGCAAAGCACTGTGAAAGCAATCATTTCAGCTGCAATAGGGGTGACTTAACAGAAGGTGGACTTTAAATTATGACCTCGTGGAGGGGGGAGAATCCTCTCAGAAGGGCCTCAGGTGCTGTCTGAAGGCAAAAGAGGGGTGGGAAGGACAAGCAGGAGCCCTCATGAGCTTGCTCCTGCCTCAGTCAGTGTGGCTGGGTTTATATGTTACAACTCCAAATAACACTGCATTTGAGAAAGGGGGTCATGCTACAAAAAGGTTTGAAAATCCTGAAGATGATGGTATCAATGATTTAACATCTGAAGACTGTATAAGAATCTGTAAGAAATATAAGAAAGAAACAAGAACAAAAAAATGAGAATGTTCACTGGCACTAGTGGAAGTTCCTGCAGAAAGAGGAAACAGGGAAGAAAATATGAGATCTCTTGAAGAGAGCAGCTGAGATGTGTGTTTAACCCTCACCATTTTGCGTTAAGGAGTGAAGCTCCCACGATGCCCACTGCTGCTGTGGCTTCTCGGGCTTGGGCCGGCTACTTGGTAACTCCTGTCTGATTTTCCAAGGTGCTGGCTTCTCTGCAAGCACGTCCTCATTTTGTCCCAAAAAGACCTGGAAACAGTTAGGTACAATTGAGACCAAAGAAAAGAATCAGGTTGGGACTTGAAGGCAAAATAACAAAAAAAAAAACGAAAAAGGTGGAAAAACAAACAGGAGAAAAAGCAAAGCTACATTCTGGTTTCTGGCAGAGTCCTGAGGACATCCACCATGTCACACACTCTGCTGTGCTGAGGGCACATACAATTTGCAAGCTCTACACAGAGACTCGCCAGTGCTCCTGGCTCAGCCTCGTTGTTCATCCCCATGGACATTTTCTTACCTGCTCAGCTGGCCCGTCAAGCTCTCTCTCCAGGTCCTCCAGCAGAGTCACAGCTTCCTCTCCATTCTCTGGTTGGTGCTCTAGCAGCCAGGCCTGCAGCTCCTCAGGTAGGCTGGCCAGGAACTGCTCCAGGACCAGTAGCTCTAGGATCTGCTCCTTGGTGTGCACCTCTGGCCTCAGCCACCGACAGCAAAGCTCCCTGAGCTGGCCCAGTGCCTCCCGGGGCCCAGGGGAATCCTGGTAGCCAAACTGCCTGAACCTCTGGCGGAAGGTCTCTGTGCTGTAGTGGCTGTTCCCATGGAGACTGGAGTCCAGATCACAGGCCTGTTCTTCCTCCTCCATCTTCACTACCAAAAGGCTACCTGACTCATCTTGTGGATGGACTGTTGGTGACTCTCTCAATTGTGCAGACATTTGGGCTGGAAATAGCTCAGGAAAACTGAGCTTTGATCTTCAAGGTGGTGAAACTCTCTTTAAACCTGAAAGCCAGAAACAAGTGGAATGAAAAGACAAATGCTTCATATGACAATACAAGATTAGAAACATAAAACTATACAGAAAGCACTGCCCTTAATCTTAACATAAACCATGCTTTCAAAGAATATTTCCTTCTTTAAAAGAATCAAAGAACTAAAGAGTCATTAATTCATATGCATGAGTAATTCCCAATTTATCTTAAAAGCCATGCCCACAAGGCAGACTAAATATCATAAGAGATCAGCTGGGATTGCATAGAAGCTCCTGGAGAATAGAAATAAGGGGAGCTTGAGAAAAGCTGTGACTCTGGAGCAGGTTCAACGGGCCAATTAATTTTATCTAGCCCGTTGCAAACAGATCTAACAATAGTCTCACAAGAGTAGTAGCTCCCTGTAGATTTTTTCGACATTTATTAATTGTTAAAACAATTATTATTTTAACATTAAAGGAAGTATTCAAAAGAAAATTTACAGATCCCTGCATCTAAATATACTTCCACTTTTCAAACTTCTGATTTCTGCCTGTAACATCTATATTAATTAACTATATTATTATTGTAGGATATTTAGGTTTCTAATGTTCAGTAATATAAATAATGTTTTGAGGTATATCTATTTTCATGAAGACCCTATTTTTTGCCTTTCAAGCGATTTCCTTCAGACATGCCCCAAGGTCTCTGCTAACTGAGGTTAAAGAGTGACGACTTTTATCTTGCTGTGTTTATCATAAATTCACAATGACACCTGCAATACAATGATGTATGAGGGCAACAATATCTCCAAGCTGCTTAGTAGGAAATGGATGAGTAGATATTTTTTAAGTGGCATTAAATACATGTATCACTGTATCTGATAACTAATATAGAAATCTTATGTGAGGTCTCCTTAAGTAACCCCTCACTCACCAAGCATGGTTCTAGGCTCTGACCTTCAGCAAGATCTAAACAAAGCATGTGGCTTCATAAATAGCTCATGCTCTAGCAGGGGAGAGACAATGTTCTGAAACAAGTGACACAACTTCATCCAGTGATGTGTTACACTGCAAAGGGGAACAGCTGACACAGAGAGAACTGACTACGTGTCAAAACTCCCTTAACAAGTATAAACTCACTTAAATTCTCATAAAAGCTCGGGGTGATTATTTTTACCACCACGGCCCCTCCCACCCCCTTCCCCACCCCGCCACGCCCCAGATGAGGACCCTGCTTGGGCAGAAGTGACCAGAGTGAAGGGCAAGACTGGGAGAGCCCAGGCTTGACTCCTCCACGAAGCTGCCTCGTGGGGAAGCGACTCCCGGGTTGAGACAGGGTGGTAGGAATGTCCAGGCCAAGAGAGTATGGGGGCTTTTCATTGAGGGATCCTATATTAAAGAGGCCTCTGGATGTCACCACCAGATCGCACTTAGGCTCTTCCGCACCAGGAGCCGAGCCTTGAGATCTCACAATTGCTCAGCTCATAGTTGCTCAGCTCTACACAAGACGCTGCAACGAAACCCAGCCAAGGCGCACAACTGCTTGTAGCCGATCCCTGAGGGGGAGGATCGGGGATCTTCCCGTAGAGATCCGCCGCTAACTTCAAAATTAGTGGGGGGCTCGGGGAGGCTGTGAAGCCGATGGCCCCTGGACTTCCCCCACGGCGCCACCACGCTGTGCTCCCTGCCCGGAGGGCCCAAATCCGTGAGAAGGCTTGGGGAGGGGGGTGTGGAGCGCCGACGAGGTGGGGGGTGCGCGCAGAAGGATGGGAGCAGGTTCAGCCGGGATTTGGGGGTGCGCAGACTCATGGTGAGAATCAGGGACGTAAGGAGACGAGGCGAGGTCCGCGCGCAAGCGGAGACGAGCGTGAGGAGGGTAGAAGGAGAGGAAAGGGTGCGCGAACCGCTTCGAGGCTCACGGAGGTCCACGGCCACCCTCCTCCCCACCGCAGCGTGACGGACGCTTGTTCAGCGGCCTAGGGGCACAGCAGAGATCTCGGCGCTCACCTCCGGGCGGGGAAGGACGACCCCAAGTCGTCGGGGAGAAACCCGGGAAGCGCCCCCTGAAGCTGCTTCCGGTTTTCCCGCGGCGGAGGTGGACCCCGATGTGGTGGAGGCGGGGCTGGGGCTGCCCCGCGGTTGCCAAGGAGACGAGCCTTGCCTCCTCAAGCTTAGGGGCAACAGGGGAGCAAAGGCAAAGGGAAGACGCCCCAAGTGGGAAGCCCTCTCTGGCATCACCGTTATTTGACATTTCTTTTACTCACGTTTCTCTTTTATAATCCAGCCAGGTTACTCTCATTTTAGGGAAATAAACCCAAAGGTTCTGTGCCCAAGGTCACAAAAAGGGGAGACTTTACTGCTTTGTAAAAGCTAAGTACAACTTTCCTCTAATACCATCAGGGCTGCCGAGGTTAAGTTCCGGCTGTTGAAGTCTTGTTACATATTCCCTCAAATGTGGAGAAGTTTTGGCTAAATCAGACAAGGATTTATTAAGTAATTGTGCACAAGAGAGCCCACAAAGGAGTGTTCGGCTGGTTTCATGAAAGAAATGAAGAGGAGACTTCTAAGAGTTAGCTCAAGAAGGGAAAAGTTGCCATAGCATGCTTTGTGCTGTGCTACTCAGAGACATTTGCAGATGGATTTCACACATCTTGGGTTTCATCAGCATTTAGCAACTGTGCAACCGCTTTTGGCCTCTCCAGAAAAAACATAAGACAATTATTAGTCAGGTTCTAACACTTTTTGCTAGCACAGCAACTTCGCTAATTCTGGTGAGCCAGATTATTTGAACAGGATGTTTAGGGAAGGACGCCCCTCCGCCATTCTGCCCACCTGTTCAAACAGGACATTGAGCAACTAGTCTGTCTTTCAGTTCCCCTGTCCAAACAAGATGTTTGATACTCCAGCCCTCCATTCAATTTTCTTGCTCAAACAGGAGGTTGGGCAATTCTAATCCCACCAAGTTTGCAGTTTCTTCTATCTCAGTTGTCTCAGTCTTACAGAACAGGATTGAACCTCACTCCTCCCCACCTTTCCCACTTTTATGCTTTCACAGGAGAACAAAGCAAGTTCCTTTGATTGTATCAAGGAAAGGATGCATGATGTTTATCCACAAAGAAGCCAAAGTAATGTTTCCTAGAATAACGTAATGGATCGCAAATTCAAGTTGCCAGGTACCTGGTCCAGATTTCAGAGCAGTTGCAGGGGCTAGCTGGAGGACTGTACTGGTAAATGAAATTTCTTCCCTCATCCTCAATATGGCTTCTATGTTATTTACTAGTGAATTTGTACAAATTAAAACTTACTTTAATTATTCCCTGGATGAGGATGGAGATGTTTTTAATCCACTTCATGGCAAATGTTTCTGCAGTAAAGAGTTTCTGCCTGAGAGTCTTAGCACAAACCATGTTCTCAAACAGCTGGAAGAGGACCCACATCTTCTTAGTGCAGATTCTGTGATAATCAATAAGGACTAGATTTTGATAGTGCTGCTGTTGGTCATGACTATCATAGGGTTGTCCCCAGTGGGGATATTCTGATGTTGAGTAAGCATTTAATGCTAATTAATGGGTTTCTACCTTCAACTTATTCATTTATTATCACTCTACTGTGGTTTCATTGCTTAATGATATCTGCACTCTTGTTGAAAGCTTTTTCTGCCCCCAAATAGCTAAAACAATCTTGAGAAGAAAGAAAAGTGAAGGTATCACATTTCCCAGCTTCAACTGGTGATACACGGTAACAGTAATCAAAACAGTATGGCACTGAAACAAAAGCAGGAAATCAGCCCAATGGAATAAAATAAGTAGGCTAAAATTTTAATCCTACTTCACACCACAATACAACCATCATTCTAAGTTCACTGCAGACCTGAACATACAAAGCAAAACAGAATTGGGAATATAATGTAGGGAAACATCTTCTTGATACTGGGACAAGAAAAGATTCTGAAAGTAGGACATTAAAAGCACTGATCACAAGAATGATAAGTTTGACTTATTAAAATTCAAAGCTTCTATTCCTCAAGCCTGAAAAGGCAAGTAAGTGTGGGGTCCAAGGATAATAACTGCAGCAAATGAAAGGATTTTGTCTTGTGTTGAATGGTAAGACTGAGGATAACTCCAACAGTATTTAAAGGCAATATTATCAGAGGCCCCAGATTTGTTTAACAGTATTGGAAGACCTTACAATTTTAGCAGAGAGTTTGGGCTTTCATTTTGGTAAGTACCTAGAAAATTAAGCAAATAAAAACCTGAAACACTGTGGTGATTTTCCAGGAGCAAATACACACAAAGGTGTTAGCAGAGAGAACACACAATTATATAACACTTCCTGACTCATCTGTGAATAGTAGTTACTAAATCATAAATCACAGTATTCTAAAAATGATTTACTAATAGAGTATTATAACAGTATTTAGATATAATATAGTTATGCTTCAATGTAGGATAGTTCTAAGCTGAAACTAAACATAGGGGCTCTCCCTGGTGGCCAAAGGGTTAAATCACAGATGTATGGAGCTCTCAGAAGCCAGAAGGCACCAGAAGCACCACAGCTGGTTCTGCTCCCCACTCTGGTGAATCCTCTCACCCACCACACCTCTGGCCTTTACCCCAGTTCAGTATGCATAAATAAATCTTTGAAAAAAAGAAACTAAACATATGGTAATATATATTTGCGTCTAATTATATTTTAATTAATATGACATTATAACATTTATAGGGAAATTCAGATAAAAAATAAATCCTCTCCTCCAAGGTTATAACGTGGTGTTCTTGGACCTTGTTTCCACAAGAGGGCGCACGTTGTATAAGATTTTCGACTTGATTGTTTCTGCGCAGCCTTCAGCCAATTACCTGTCTCCTACTCTGTTTTTGGTAGCGTTGACTAACTGATGTTAACATCCAAACGATCGTTTTCGAGATCCAACCTACTGCACAAGGGCTATCATGTCGAATACGAATTGA